ATAAATGACAATAATAATGAGACAGACAGTACAGAGGCAGACAGACAGACAACTACTAGACCTGACATGGTTCATTGTAATGAATCCAAAAAGAGAAGGATCTGTCATAAGACTTCCATAATATATGGTTGTGCATGTACACTGCGATGATGTAGACAGAGAATGCTCTCATGTCCCAATCATGTGGAGAAAAACTTAGAAATTTTCAAAGACTTAAACTTAAACTGAAAAGAGGGGCACGCAATAAGAATTGAACCAGCACTATGCATTGCCTAACCCTATATTTTCTCTAAACCTAACGATTAAGCCACGAGACCAATTCGCTTGAGGAAACCTGAACTTTTGTGACATTTATGCAACGGCATGCATGAATAACCATGTATTTGTACATAAGATTGAATATATAATTAAGGAACTTCTATAGGGACATGAGAGCCTTCTGTAGATACATAAGGGCCATGCATATGAGCATCAATATAAGGAAGTCGTACAGATTGAATGACATGAAAACATTGTACATATTTAGACAAACAGACAATAGCGAGGTAGATCAACAGACAGACTACTACAGTAGGTCTGGCATCTGAAAGTTCCTGGGAAATTCATGTCCATACTTCATGTCCATGCTTTWGCTTTTGGAAATAAGACTGCAATGTTTTTGAAAAACAAACTGTGCCCACTTATTTCAGATCAAAGCGCAAACATAATAGCTATAGAGTATACATAGCTTCTTTATAGATTAATATAGTTAGATTTCAAGATGTCACATTTTATATATTATACATGTTTTTATTAAATTTTATTTCTATTTTATTTGAATACATATCTATTATAAGATAATTATAAGATAACATTGACCAATAATCACATAATTGTTTTATGTTAACTGCTGTTTTGACCAATGAAAGCATGCTTTATATTATATTGCTTTTAACCAATGACAGCATTGTTTTATATCATTACTATCCACCAATGGTAAAATGGTTGGCTATTGGCTAATGATGGCAGGTTTTACATTATAACTGCTCTTGACCAATAAAAGCTTTTTTTGTATATTATTAGTGTTTTATATTAGTGCTACCGACCAATGATAGCATCTGTTATATTACTGATTCATAATAAATAAACCTATGTACAATACAGAAAGTATTTTTAAATCAATAAAACCCATCAATAACTTCGAATTAACTAATTAGAACCTCTAACCATTCAACATTCACAAAAAAATACAAATCAACCAAAGCTAGCACAAAAAGAAATAGAAAATATACTTTTACAAAATGCTAACTACATTCAGTTTACAGAATYATTTGGGTTAGGGCTAACAAATAATGTTGAAAATTTGACAGATTTGTGTATATGAGAATCAATGTAATCTAAAAAACTCTGTCAACTTTGTCCAGCCAGGCAACTAAAGCATGCCACTGCTTTGCAACATGATTTGTTTTACCTCTATAATTTAGCACCAATAGTGACTTATAAAGGAATCTTGACTCAAAAAAATAAACGTCCAGTTAAACATCATGAACTGAACAGTTCTGACTTAATGATTGAATTGTCCACTTGTATTTCAGTTGTCTGAATAAAATTTTTGATGATTCCACTAAATGATTCCATCGTTTTCTATTTGAAATAATCACTAATAATTAATAATTAATCAATTATTAATTAATTAATAATGTATCAATAGTCAAGCTTTTATGACTAAGTTATCCCAACCTTCATTGATGCCTACTGGTTGGATTTTACTTAAACAAAAAATAAACAGTATCCAACAAAATATAAAATTAGATTGATTTATTTTAACAGTATGTTAAAACTAGAGCTTAAAACTTCACATTCAAAAAAAATTATTAAAAGTAAAGTTAATTTTTTTATTTGGCTTTAGAATTTAATGACAAAAGTAAAGAAACATCGGCATCCACACCGATTCTTAAACGTAAATTAATCTACCAAAAAAACCTTGTTGTCTTGATATAAAAAATAAAACAAGTGTCCAGTTATGCGTCAAGTTGYGGTTCATTTAGCGGCATAGCTCAAATTGCTTGCATTGTTATGCGCAGCTATTGTGACTGTAAAGCGCACGTCTGTTGGTAGCTTTGTTCTGCAATGCAAAGGTAATGTCATGTGTTATGTGTCATGTATAAGGTATGCTGTAGATTGGTTGTCAGTGCTGTCAATCTGGTCATGGTAAAGTCACAGTAAACAGACACAACATGCATACAAGTACATTGATGGTATAGAATGAATTAAATCATTGGGTATTCACAATATTCCACAATTTGTTTCAGTGACAATGGACAGAGCATTGAACAGAGGAGTCAAGGAATACTGAGCAATGATACAAACATTTCTTTGTTCATTGTTTCTTAATGCCCTGGTCTAATGCTTTGCTCATGGTTTCTGAGCCTTTATATTGATAGTCATGAAATGYCATGAATGCTACCCCAAAGAATAAAACAGAATGGAATTGAACAGAAAGAAGGGAGAMAAAAATGAGAATGGAATTGGATAGGATGGTTGGAATGGATTACGAACAGAACAGAACAGAATGGATAAGAATAAAACATCAAAATAGAGAATGTTATGAAATACATAGCCCATGAAAACACACAATGGAGCACAAAGCATTCTCATACCCAGATCCTTCTCAATTTTCCAATGGAAAATCGAAGGCTCTGGTTGGAGACGATACCAGAGGACCCAGAATCTGTGTCATATGATATGATGCATGGGAATTTTTAAGCCAATGAAATCAAAGGATCATTTGTTTCCCACCAGAGTCCTCATTTTTTTGTTGGGAAACTTAGAAGCATCTGGGTATGGGAATGAACACCAAGGAACTAGTCCCAGTAACTCAAGTTTACCTGATATGCTTAACCCAGGGTTGGTTCCAGTATTTGGTGTTCCGGTTGATATTCGTCCACTGGTGTTGGGGTTTCCCATTCCAGAGTTACTTCCAATTGTGTCCACACTAACACTCCTGCTGTAGCCATTGGTGTCATCAGAGCTATTGCTGTCTTGTGATATTGGGACGGTTACTGGCATCTGCTGTGGATAGTTTTCAGAGTTCTGTAAAGAAAACAAGCCTGTTTATTACTTCTGTTCTCTGGTTACATAGCAATATTGAGGTATTTTATTATTGATACTTACAGGCTGTGGGATGAAGTTCTTCTTCATCATCTGGTCAAATTCTTCATTGATTTTGTTATATTTTGCCTCTGTTCTTGGTGTCAGCACAAACTGCTACAAGGCAAAAATAATCTTTTAGATTCAACCACTGTTCCAATCTTTGTTACCCCTCTCCTTTTAYTTTTTCCTGCATTTCTTAGTTTTTAGTGAATTCTCTCTCTAAAACACATGATCACATGATCCTACCTCCCATAAAAAAGATTTCATGTCAAAATAAACTCMCGAAATAAAAATCTTAAAAATAAGTATATTACAAAGTTTCACCACATTAATTTATKGGCAAAGAAATGCAAGTGAAAATGGATGGCCTTCATTCATAAGCCATGCTTTTGCAAAATACTTAATCAATACTTTGCTGAAACTTCATCTCGATTACATCTTTTAAGGTGAAACCCATTTTATTTTATCAAAATATTATTAAACTTAGAGATGCTCATCTCATTTCTGTAGTCGTTTTTTKTATACATTTATAAATATCTTCATGATTTAGGGTAGGTAACCAAAATGACCTGTCATTGCTAATTGTCCATTTATTGTCCATTTATATATCTGTTGTGACTCGTCAGGGAAGATACAGAAGKTGTTTTAAAGTGCCGATACAGACTWATAATCAATAATACTMAAAAAAAGTGCACTAAAAATGMTTTAAAGATTGATGTACTGCTTTATTGCATGCAAATTTAATAGATTAACTAATCTCTAAACAACTACATAATGTTTCAAGTACCACATCATAAAACATCATTTATAAAATAAATTTCTAAAACTCATGAATTATTCATTTGACATTCTTCCAATGAGCATTCAACTATGGGTCACATGGCAGGATCACATGAGTTTTATAACTAACCGATTCAGTTAATTATAACACTCATGCATAAAACATCAGTGTTGTAACTGATTTACAGACACTCGATGTGTGCCCAACACTAGAAAAGTTCTCAGTTTTAGACTCTCATCATAGAACTTCACTAGGTCTCGAGTTAAAATTACTTATTTGCAGAGTCACAGTACACTAAAACATAGTGGCGCTTGGATGTGGGAAACCAAGTTGATTACTGCTCAGATGGAGATATCTTCATCAATTATCCATTTTTTTGATATTTTTTTATTTATATCATGTTTATTGTAGTTTCTTAGGTTTGGGTTTTAGAAGTCATTTAAAAAACTTGTAGTTCATGTTTTATCGTGGATATAAACACTCAGCCTTCGTACTCGTGTGTATATATCTCACGATAAAACACTCCTACTCGTTTTTTAAATATCACATATAATTTAAAGTTGACATAAAATTATAGCCTCGAAAATTAATTGCAAACTGTCTAAAAACACCTGTCACAACCACCCACCTTTTCAGTCTCATCAGGTGAAGAAAGYTGTTTGTTTTCCTTCTTTGAAATTGTCTATCAAAAGAGAGAAAAGCAATTCAATTAATAAGCATTGTCTTTAGAAAATTAGTATATCAGTATATCAATCCTTTGTCAAAAGAGAAAAAACACAAAATGAAACACCAGGGCGGCTCTTTCTCATTTATAATCAACCATTCAAATATGCTGTATGCAAATTAATTCCAATGATTATTCATATACACTTCGTTCTTATATATTAATTATTTATAGTGAAATGTTAATGAGAAATTGTTTAAATGCTAGAAAAAAAGGAGTGCAACCAAGCGAATTCACTTGTGGCGTARCCGTTAGGTTTAGGGTTAATGATTGGATTGGTCTTATTTACAGTTCACAGGTTCCAATTTTATCAGCCGGATCAACTTTTTTCTCATTGAGGAGAATCAAAATCCTCAACATTTCTAAGTCCCACTCGTGTGTTCGGAAACCTACGACATATTTCATTAAGTCATTGGGTGGTTGATATATCAAGAAAGAGCCACCAGGGCATTGTAGCACAATTTTGTATGCATTTGGAGTCGAATTAATGGCAGCTGCAAATCAAGATTATTGTTGCTTCCAAACAATTTTCTAGAGTTTAATTTTGTTAATGACTAGAGGCAGAAAATCATGAGGAAATCACAGCACAAAATTGTGACATTTTAAGCAGTTAATATAAGCTCAATACAAATAAAAAATACTATGGATTTGCTTACAGTTGGCTTGCTAGTATTTTTCATAAGGAGTTATACATTCACATTAGTACTAAATAAGGGAATTACTAGATACAATGACTCTTTMAGATTAAACACAAATCATCACTTTCTTACAACAACAAAAAATCAGACTTTCAATAGAATAACAAGAATGTAAATAATAAACTTAAGAACAACAAACAATTAGCTTGTTTTGAATTTCTTTTTTAAACATATTGATATTCAAACTGAGAGGAACCAGSTCTTTCCTGTTATTTCTTTCAAATTTAATGTTATTTTCTTAAGGTATTTTGACCAAAAACATGGTGATTAAGTAATCCTTCTTTTTTTAGTTTCTTGMTTTTTTATCATCTCAAGCGTTTTTAATTTGATATATTCAAAGCCTTTTCCACCATKTTCCTTACCTCAACAATATCAGTGTTGGTTCTGCTCTCATGTGGTTCATTATACTCAGTGTACTTGAGCAAAATCTTGTCCATGTCTGTGCTTGCATACTGGAAAAGCTTGTTGGCCGAGTTGAAGATAATAAGTGCAATCTCGCAGTCGCATAAGATGCTGAGCTCATAGGCTTTCTTCATTAAACCAAACTTTCTCTTTGTGAAAGTAACCTGGAAGAAAGAAGGCATCGATAACTTGACAGATTAAAACTGCAAATATAATTATTCCAGATTTAGACAAGACGACAACAGGACCGGATTGTTCAAAGCCTGATTGCCTTAATCCAGGTTAAACTCCATACGTTTTTTTAAGAATTAAAACAAGATTAGCACTAATCAAGCTTTGAACAACACGGCCTGGATTTTAAACTCTCTGAGCTTTGTCAAGATCTCCTGGTMTTGTTAAGATTATAATATTAAATCTCTAGATTTTCTGAGAAAACTAAAAAAATAGTAAGACTGGAAGGAAGTTGCCAAAATGTGAACATTGTATAGTGATTCATCTTTCCTCGTGTTTTGGGGGCTTTGRCGTTATGATAATGAATTGGCTGATTTATAAATCCCAAGATAAGGCGGTTAGTTATCTGTACAGGTTAAAAAAAAATCAGCCAGAATACTGTAACTCTCAACAGGTTTGAAAGAGATGGTGTAGTAAAGTTGCGTGGCCACATTGAAAGTTGATACTGTAAAAATGTAAGCATKTTGCAATATCAATGTTTTGTCATGAAATGACTTATGGCAGATACACTGTCCTTAGGCAAGATAAATACAGTGCATTATAGCCATAATAAAGACACAAACTTTATATTAAAGTGCAAGCCAAGTGAGAATGAGAACTTAAAGCACAGKTTTTATAAAGACTTCAGTTTTAGTTGACCATCTTGACAGTGCAACACAATGTTAACTTGATATCATAGAAAATTTTTATAATGCTTGATTCACAGAGTGAAAGAGAAAACTTTCAGCCCTACTTAAGACTGGATTTTTTAGTCATATCATGCCCTACCAAACAAACACCGTCTGTTGATTGCGTAACTATATTTTTTTAAGTTTTTTCCCATGCAAAGGAAATCCATCGCATCAATGACAAAGGTTTCATGGTGKGCTGTTATTAGTGGTTTTTATTCAGTCCTTCAATTGGGAACTTGGCAACCAGTAGGAAATACAAAGAAATTCCACAACTGCCACTGAAGTATTATTAATGAATATGAAAATTTGCTAATTTGTGAATGAAGAGCATTCTTTGGCATGTGAATATTTACATAATATAATGGRTTGTTTTTGCAAAAATGGATATTTTTTTGAAGTGAATACTTTTTATTCTCATAAAAATTCCATACTTTTTAGAAGAAGTTTTAAAATAAGAAAATGACTTTCAAATCCACAAAGCAGCATGTTAGATACTGGTATAACAATTTTAGACCCTTTATGAAAATCAGTTTAAGCATTCAAATTCTGACACAAAGTGCAAAACTTCTAAAATCCTTAAATGTAAAAAGACATAACTTAATTAAAAGAATTTATAAGTACACAAATTCCACAAATTTTAATTAGAAAAATACACAAATTATATTTAGTCACAATACCAAAAATCATTAGCAAAAATGGTTTTATATGTGACTAATCAGTATCAAGATTAGTTACTTAAGATCTAGTAGCTAGAGTATATTTTACTTGAAATTAAGAAATTATGAAATTCTTGATCTCAAATAAATATTACTTGTCCAATTCTACAAAATGCTTTAGCGAAGGGTTCAGAAAAAGCTAAAAAAAATTGAAAAAAATTATTTTGATCTATAGTAGTTATCTTCAGAGATGTACACAAAATACAAAAAAAAGAATTAAGAAATGAAAAAGAAATTGAGAATAACAAAAGAGAAAATGATACATGAAAAAATAAAAGACAAATGAAATAGAAAGATGGGGTTTGTTTTGAAAACAGTAGGTTATAATATTCATAATATAGACTAATAACATTAACTTGTCTTCATCTATAAACTCAACTCCTTTTTTGATTATTTTAAATGCATACTACTTCAGAGGAAGAGAAAATCTCTAAGATATGAAAGCTTTAGAAGAACATTAAGCAYAAAATCCTAAATCCTTGAGAAACGTGGCATAAGGTCACATGATGTTGCATATCAATATTAGAGAGCTAAAAAGCCACTCAGATTGCCAAAAAYGCTACAGTTAAGTGCTATTGGACTGGAGATATAACAATAAAAACCACAATAGGAAAGCTTGGGTTAATCAGGATTGTTGTGGTCTCCCAAAGTGTTGAGCAATAAATGCMARTTTTCAAGCCAGAGTAGAATTACTACAAACCATTCAGAAACATCTGCAAAGTTTGTACAATATCGGTGTTTGTAGATTGTTTTASAAATTGAACTATTCAATAATAAGGTTTGTGAAGCCATAAAGTTGAATTTAGACAAAGTTTCAGTGTTGCCRTGTTTTTTTATTAATCTGTGAATCTCAGYTCAGGCAGACATGACAGGGAATTGATATATGATAAAGTTCATTCGCATCTGTCAACTGCAGTGTCTCTAGACTTCCATCAAGTCTCACGCAATTTACAGTACAATAGTAAATATTTCAAATATCTGGAGTATGAACAACTCTTATAGTAGCCAGACCACAACATCAAGCCACACAGACAAACACAACAGTAAGACTTTGACAACTGAATTGAGATAAAAACAGGACACACAAAGTATCCTCCACTCATCTTCATTTCCTTCAGGAGCAATACATGACAGATAGCTTTTSGTCAAAATCTTCAACATATCAAATCATGTCAATAATTATTTATTCGGACAACAAAGACTGTTTTCTTTTGGTTTTATTGCGTTTTTGTTTGGCTTTTCTGCTCAAATCCAACCCAAGGACAGGAAGCATTCACAAAATTGTGCAAAGTAGATTTGCCATAGCGTGATGTGCGCTGAAAAGCATTCAAGAGATTTGCGATGATTGATGGCTAAGTCCACTTTTTGCATCAGAAACTCCTTCGAGAATCTATTCTAAAAAGAGATCGACAACTGCTAARATCTTGCTTGAAATTCGGCAGTTCAGAAATTATGAGTATCCAAGAGATTGTCAAATAATCCTGCCTTCTAAGGGAAGAGCGGAAGTAGGATTCCTACACGCATGTACAGGGTTCTAGAAACGTTTTTCAAGTATCACAGATAATCTTCTGTGACCTCATGGACTGACCTAAAAAATACCGAATCTCTGGCTAATTGATGATAAAAGATACMTAMGAAAATCGCGCAAAATCGCGTGTGTTTATCTCCTTGAAAACAAACTTATTCCATTTTATAAAGCGTGAATCTTAGCGTTTGCGAAGAGCCCTCCAGACATAAAAACAATCGTGTGTAAATATCGATGATGAAGCAACAATCCGGCGGTTTACACTACAAATTTCATTGTTAGCGTTCTGAATTAGCAGTGTATACTACGATGTATTAGGAAAAAAGCGAGCGTGCAATCTTTGATATACGAAAAACAGATCGAAACAAAATGCGATCGAACGTTCGATCAGAATGATGTTGATATCGTTCCGGTTGTAGATCGCCTTGTCAGAACGCCCGCAAAATTTAGCATCGAGATTACGCGCGCACTAATACGTTTCGCAGTTCTATTTTAAGACCATTGTAGTGTTCACTATCAGTAATTTCTAACCCGCATGACCCTGAAGATCTAAAAATACACAAACCATGGCATTCTTAATAAAAATCGAAGAGCTATTTTTGACTCCGCCGATGCAAAATATAGACTCCCAATAAAAACCTACGCCCGCGCGCTTTAAAATAAACTTTCGCTGTTTAAAACATGTGTTTAAGTAAACTAGAGACAGTCACGAAGGAAAAAAACTATCAATCGCACCAACCTGACGATTYCTCTCATCTCCGATTCGAGATATTTGGATCTTTTTTCTTCCCATGGCTCTATTATTGGGTGAGCGTAATTCCAGAATTGGAGTGTATTARCGTGAAGAATAATCTGCTTTCGGTRGTTCTTTATCTGAGAGAAAGAATAAAACCGTGAGTTTACACAATTAATCAAATTCACTACCGTAAGTATGTGCTTGGAGATCTATCGTGACAAGAAAGAATGTTCGAACGTGAACTTTTCCGTCTATTCTCAAAGCAGAAGATGTTACTTCAGAGTTGGTTATAAAGGTTMTTTTCACTCACTTAAATTGCACAAAATCAAGAGAAATTTCAAGAATGCATYGAGGTTTTGTTGGGGTAGCGAAGGGAAGTTGACTGAGGGTAAAAAACCAACTAGCATTCCATATTGCGTAGAATGATGTCAACCTTCCAAGGGCCATCCCCGGGAACGTCGAAAGTGTTATTAGAATATGATCTAATATTTCTGTCATCTTTCTCGAGTTTCTTGGAGAAATCACCGAGAGCAAAGTAAACAGACTTGTGCCAGTGATAGGAGATTATTTTGTCCACAGTAAAGCAATTTTTATCGAAGAAAACGGTGATTTTTCAGACCGGAAATTAGTGTAGTTCTAGTCTACAAGACGACGAGATCGCGCCATTTTGGATTGACGAAATTCCTGCTTGGATAATTTGTCTCTACRCAAMAACACACGCAAAGCAGTCTAGAGTTCTCTCTCATTCATAAGTATGAATTTCTTTCATCTAGGATTTGTATAAGGGACGAATTTACCGAGCGAATTGGCCAAATTCGATTTACGCGACCCTGTATGACTGATAAATAAACGATCGTGAAACAAGCTCAGTTTTGCACCTAAAATGCACTTCTATCCGTCATAGATGTATTGATACAAAAAGTGGAAACAGCAAGAGATTAAGATTATCGAAATATTATTCCCCAAACACTCAAGTAAGCGTACAATCTTCTGCACCAAACGACATCTAGGGAGCAAATTTCTACCTGCGAAATATTCGCACACTAATCAGGATTTTCATCACAAAAAAAATCTAATCAAGCATCAATTTTAACGACAATATACGAATTATGAGCCGAAATTACTCTCGTGTGACACTTCTCCTAAAATTAAGAGCTGTAAGTTAGTGAAATGCGCGCTGAAGAGAGATGTGTTTCGTATCTCTGCCCTCGTGGCGAACCAAACAGGCCTTCGGCACAAAAATACAAAAATTGTACTCAGAATAATTTACCTACACAAAATAAAACAGACTTTTTTCGCAACTAACAATACAAGAAGCACTTGGGCTCTCAACGAGTAGTAGAATCACAAGCCAGAGCCGTAAAATCAGGCAATATTTCGCTCAAGATCTTCAAGTTTGGTTAGCGAGAAATCAGCAGATCTTCGCTTGCCTGGGCAAAATTCACAAGACAGCAGTCGCCTTGATAAACCGAAATAGATTGCAAGGAAAAACCCTCAGAATTAGGCTAAATCTAGCTACAGTGTTAGAGCTGTTTATAGATCATAGTCGACGGAAATAAAAATTCAAAATCTATTTTTACCCACCAGTAACACGGCCTGTCCAATGCAGCTGCCCCAGTCGATGTACGTTTGAGTTATTTGTGGAAACAAACTCAGTGCTTTCGCTCTAAAGACCTGCCTCATTTGCATACGGGGAGGGGTGTGATGTCAACATGATGTCATTCACCGTTAATGAGAACCAACATTTTGATCAGCACAACAACAAACTTGTATCGTAGATAAAACAAAAATACAAAATAAAACCCTTTTCAATGCGATAAARGAGCTTTTAGGCTGATAAGTTGTTTGCAAACATTTGTCAATTAAATGATATCAATTTAGCTCGAAGTCTAAACGTGTTTTTAAAAACGCCGGAAAAAATAACAATTTACGATGAATATAATACGAATTTTGGTCTTCAATCTTGAGTAAAATGCTTTTTTCTTTTGGTAGAATCCATTAGGAGTAAATTGATTTATATTTCATGATTTTATAGCAATGWAAACTTTATTTTTCACAAAAAGCCTGGGACGATAATGTTCATCGTCTGAAACTAAAAATCGAAAAAACCTGTCTAGCAAAGAAATCGAGAAAAAATATATTTTGACTCATAGGTAACAATTRAAATCACAAAAAGTATCATTTATTAATAGAACCATATTTCTAATCGATAGCAATTAGTTGCAACGAATAAATGTTTATTTTGATATATATTTCAAAACACGATCTTCGGTGAATTCTCTCAACGCCACAACTCGGTTGCCATAAATTCCTAGTGACGTCATCAGTCTCTTCCTGTTTTTAACGCAAGTTCGCTTTCAAATGCAAATTTTACTTTCTCCCGCCAAATTGAAAATTAATGAGCGCTTCTGGAAATAATTCAGCTGCGGGGAAAACCATAATTTTTTCCTACCAAAAAATTGTACAATTTTAAAATATTGTCATTGAACTAGTATTTTTTTCTAGTGAAGCCTTAACTTAAAGCTTTTGAGTTTAATAAATAGCTATGTCAAATCAATTTTTTTTATATTTTATTTTTGTACTTTTTTCAGTTTTTTTCCCAGACGGTGAATTCCCGCTGATTTGGWAGACAGGAAGCTGAAAGCTCTGAACAGGAACTTTGAAAACTATCGACCGCGCCACACTTTACTTGTCGCGAACAGCTTTGAGATTTTCACTTCGGGGAAGCAGTCTTCCGTTACAGTTTCGAAAGGAAAACTCTAACAACTTCCTAGCTTTCTTAGCATCTTCTTGTACACCAAACAACACCATTTATAAGAAAATAATTATYAAATAAAATCAGTAGTGAAATGTCACGTACAGATAGTAAATAAAACGAAAATAATYRCACGGATGTCCTTGCGGACTCAACAAGGGGAAAGCGAATACGACGCCCATGACTGCTTCTTGTAGGAGAAAAAAAACGCTAAAATAATCAATTCTTTGACGAAAAGGGCAATTATCATAATATATACAGATCATTAASTGGGTTGTAAAATCGTCTAAGCGACTGCTCATAGGCTGGCATAGCTGTTACCAAAAACGTCTCCGAGACTTATATAAGTGACTTATATTAAAATGTGCCTCCAGGACATAAGACGTTAAGACCAAAAATAATTAGATATTATGTGTGGAAAATATAACTGAACACCAATTTAACTCGTAAAAAAATTGCCGGAATCAACGCTGTATAAAAACGGGAACGATCCAGGTTTAAAACTTTATGATGAAAAAGCACGAGAGACGCCATTTTGTGCTAAAACGTATTCTGACTGGAGGTACTAGCACTGTACAATAGTTCTTTTAAGCACAAATGTAATTTGTTTTACCGTTTCTTTAAGAAAACTCTAACACTGGTTCTGGGGATTACTACTTAATCAGACGACAGCAAGGACCTATGAAATGCTATCACGGTTATGCATGTTATAGAACTGCTGAAAGTCCTGTCAGTGTTAATGCAGGATTCGGAAGGCACGTGACCGTTTATTATACATGATTTTTGACTTTTAATATCTCGAGAACTGAAGCTACGATTTCATCATAGGCTTTAAATAACTTTTTCTTAAATCTCCCCTGTGTAATAGCAAAATTTTCAAATTTTCCAACAAAATACGACGAATTTATTATTTGACTGGGGCACGACAGCCCGGCTCTCAAGCCTCTTTTCAAGTCAGGACCACGATATGTTATGTGATATGAGGGATCAGTGGTCAGCTAAAATTCAAGGAATCACTCATTTTGGGAGGACGGGGAATCAAATTTGAAAAGAAATTTGTTATCAGGGGGCACTTTTTTGCCCTAGATACTTGTATAGGATCATCAACAAAGAAATATACCATTTTTCATGACCCTGTCAAGTTGTTATAGTATTCCATACCAGACAAACATTAAAAGTTCACTGAAAGCGTAAAGATCTATAAATATATGTTAAGGGCKTGCGCCTTSTATCCATGACAACGAATAAAAATGCTTGRTAACCCTTCATGATGAATTAGCATAACATTTSWKKTWWTRRTSKTYTKKWG